TATAATAATCATGGGTGTGTAAGGGTCTTACGCACAACCCACTCCTCCACTCACTGATCTACACTGACCACTTATGGATAATTAAGGCCTGCATTTGAGCTGAAAGGACCTCCTAAACTATAACGATCCTGTCAGGGTGGTGTAACTGTCTCACCCAGACGTGACTGAATGTGAGCCCGCGATCCAGGAACATCTTGTTGAAATCAATGCGACAACAAGGCCCAGACTACTTTCTATACCCCTGGGTGAAGCAGCACATGGGTCAAAATATGCCCTGTTTTACTCAACTCTATGGGACAAGTCCATGCTTTTTTTTCTTGCTCGCCATGCATCATTATTGAGCATGGATTAAATCAGGTCCTCTACATTCCAAAATTGGTGGGACTTGATGCAAACTGCTTTTACGTCCATTACCTTTACTCCAATGTCTTACTTACTACCAGGCACTGTTAAAAAAGGGAAAGATAAACATATATATATTTAGATGTGTCTATATAATATCCCAGAGAACACTTCTGTACCTCATTTGACAAAAAAAAATAACAGCCAACACATATATGCAGCTGTTGAAATGGAGTGGGATAAAGGAAGAGGGGAAAACTGGGAGACAAAGTGGCGACAGGTCAAAAACATTTTTTCTCCTCCCCTGAAATCATTTCTGTAGTAGAGGGAATGTTTGAACATGAGTGATAAGTTGTGTATCGCAAAGATCCCCTTTTGAGAGTTGCTAAACAATCTCCTGAAAATTCATCTGGCCTATTTACAGATGAAGATGGGCTACGGATGGTGTGTTTATGTTTGTGTCGGCTTGACATATTGTCGCCCCTGGGTGGGATCTCTTTCTCCGGTGAAGTCACATGTACTGCCTTGTGCTGAACTACCCCTCCCCCCTTCCACTTTAAGCCCCACCAAACTTTCAGGGCCAGATTTATGAGGGGTAAGACTAGTTGCAGTAATGTTTTATTAGACTGTGATAAAGTCTTGTCAGTTTTTCCAGTGAGCACAATTAATTTAGCTGCTCCTTGTACACTCTTGTCATTTTAGTCAGAACAATACTTGGTTGTATTTAAAACTGTTTGTCTTGATTTAGGTGTATACAGCAGAGACAGATTTGAAAACTAGAGTGAGCAGTGACATTAAACACATGAAAGATCGATGCCCACAATGTTTCAGTTGTTACATGAGCTGCCTCTTCATCAAAATGTTTCTGCAGGTCTGTGCTACTTTGATAAGCCCTTTTCAGACATAACCTGCAGATTAAATCTGGAGAATTGGGTCTGGACTTTAGCTGCGTTTTTGATTTTTACACATGCATTGCTCAGGGGGAGCTTCTCTGCACAGACATGTTCCTAACAGCAAATCCTCCATCTACATTATTCAGGCGAGAGGTGGAGCAGCCAGGTGCAGCTGGCAGAGGCAGGAAGTAATGTATTGATTTATATGTTATATAATTCGTTTGTTTCTTTTTTTTTTCCTTTCGCACGTTAAAGACGGCATCAACATCCCCAGTCGCTCACTGTGAATCCAGCGCTGGATCACTGCTTTGTTCTTACATCGGATTCTCCCGACTTTCTCTGGACTTTATACAACTGAACAAAAATATAAACGCCCCATGTCAAATATAAGAGTTTTATTAACATTTGGGTTGCGCAATATATAAAGAAATTCAAAATTTATTTTCAGTAATTACTAATCTTCATATTGGCGTTGATAACATCGTGGTATGGCCATTTGTAACGGATTGACAGTCCTTTGAACATGATAGGGGTCAGGTTGAGGAATTTGATTGTTCAATATCTTGTGTGTCCGCCAGCTGTGTCTCTCAGAGCAACACATCTTCTTCGCATGAAGTTGATCAAATTGAGTCGAGTCGGTTCCTACGCTGGACAGCAGTGAGATCCAGACCACGGTGATGCTTCTCTTTCAAAGGTTGTCAATTTAATTCTGGCCATGCTGTTGAATAGATTATTCACTTTAGAATGGAAGAAGCAAGCAGTGGAAAGTTAAAAATGAAACTGTTTAAAAAGTGAAAAAAAAGCTAAAAAATATTTTTAGGTTTTTGAAAATCTGGAACCTGAAAATATGTTGTTTCGCATTTTTTTTTATCTTGAAACATCAGTAATTGTTAATCAGATTTATTTAATGATTAATTGACTTCAGTAATAAATAATCAGCTTCCATCAGTTGCCTTTCTAGCAGTGTGCAAAAGTCTGGAAGTTTTTTGAAAGTTAGTTTTTAGGTGATGAGGATCAGATGAGAATAGAATAATGTCTGTGATTAAGAGGTTTGCCCTTAGTTTGGCAGGACCAATCTAATTGATACAATGACTAAGACACTAGGACGGGGCGACCATGTTGTAGATCAAAAATGTTTAACTGGATGAGACTCACTGGAATGTGAAGCAAAAAGCTTGACTGTAGAAGAGAGGATGAAAAGTGCAAGAAGACCATAAGTGCTTTCTTTTATCTTTAAGAGTGTGACTGCTTAAACAGCAGTGTATAGTTTTCCTCTACAACCTTTGGGGGGTTTGCTTGTTGTAGATTATCTTGTAGAACATTTGATCAAAGCCTTCTACTTGGTTATCAGGTGTAGTTTTTTGCACACAAAAGCAAAGTAAATTTTCTACAACCTCTGTAGCAGTGTGTTCCTGCAAGGTCAAGTTACAGCTGTTGAAAAGTAATTGTACTCCAGGAATGTGTGCCTCCATGCTTGAATAGAGGATGAAAAAAAGTGAATTGTCATGGATTGTTAGTATGAAAACAATTTAGTTGTTCCCTGATATCTGGGTAAATAAAAGTTAGTTTCAGGATTAGTTTGTTTTTCCCACTGTCAGTACAGTCGAGTGAGATTATTTATCCACCGAGCACGTTGTAAACTAATTCAGACTAAAGGTCCTCAGCACACAGCTGATCTTTGATCTGTCTGAATTGCACACTGTTAACAGATTAATGCAAGTGGTCTTTGTCTCTGTTTCTCTTTATCTCTACTAAATCTTGCTGTTGCTTGCACTCTTCACTATATGTAAAGGAACACAGCTGGGTAGCCACATAGCAAAGTGCAGACTCATGCTATGTCATATTCATGCTAACCTTGTGCTTAGTTTTACACTTCCCACCTCAGTTTTTGTATGTTACGTTGGAACCCTGGGGGTCATCAGCTCAGATTGTTCTCCAGGCAAACAGCAGGAATCGGTCTGATCAGGTGTTGTAGATGACCCAGCTTGTAGGCTGTTTTATTTAGCGCTGATTTGCTGGCCTAAATGTGTGCAGCTCTCTGAGCAGAGGTGAGATGAGACCTTGATGTACAGTTTGTTGTCCTGCCAACCCGTCAGCCTGCCAGTGTATTTAGCTGCTATTGGCCTGAGCTGATCTGGCTGTGCTGGGGCCTGCCTGCTGGCTGACTGCCCTCTTTACAGGGGTGGGGCTGTCTCGTTGGTCAGCACTGACCTTCACTCTGATTTATGAGTTCCTTGTTGGAGTCTGTTTCCCCACCATCCTCCTCATTTCCTCATGTGCTTGCAGTACATTACAACTGGCTCGCAGCTGTACCTCACACTCCCTCAAACATAAGCAGGCCACCCTGTGTCCACCACCGACATCGCGGTCTATAAACAAATGCATAATATGCAGCAGATGTGTGAGAGCCCCTTGTTTTTTCTAAGCTATGGCTGTTGCCAGAAGCCTGGATGAGAAACACACAGTAGGGCAAAGTTAAATTACAAGACAGAGCACAAAAAAAGCAGTCAGTTATCAATTAATTGATAAACAGATAATCAAGCTATTTGCTATTTGATAATTTAATTAATGTATCTGACATTTTAAAGCAAACATGTAAAAATGTCTATTTCAGCTTTTTAAATGCAATCTCTCTTCAGGTTTTCTGTGTCTACTATGTCAGTAAATAATAAATGTTAGTTGCACAAAACAATAAATAAAAAAACCTCACGTTGGACATTAAAAAAAAGTATTACATTAATTGAGAAAATTACAGGCAGACAAACTGATAATGAACATAATTGTTAGTTGCAACCCTGCATCATATTTTTACCTACTTCACTTACAGTTTACGAGTCCCTGTCATAGATGTCATGTTTTGTTTGTGTTGGATGACAAATGGTTAAGTAAACCACATATTTACATATAGTCTGGTGTTAGCTATGTTGGGAGGGTGGAGTTTCTTTTTTTTTTTACTCAACACAGAGCCTAAACCCGTGTCTGCCTTCATGCTGAGAATGTCATAGCCTTTACAGGAACCTGTACAACCACAGCTGAGGAGGTCTGCCTGCCTGTGAGGAGGGTCAAATCTTTACAATTTAAAATTGTAATTTGTGGGTTTTCAGTGTGGCAGGCTGCCACAGTCTATGTAATTCATGGAAAACACTTGAGCAACCTAAATGACATAGCAAGTTGGCTTGGGAGTTCAGCTGTGTCTTCAAATGAATGAATAATCTTGGCCTCATTGTAAATGCTTTATATTCTCTTCCGATCCATCACTTTCTCCTCCTTTCAGTTCATTTTGAATCTGTTTACAGATTGTTGTCTAATATTAATCTTGTGTTAACAGTCTTTTCAGCAGAGAAGAGGTTGTTGTATAAAAGAAATAACCCACTCAGGATGTTACACTATATAGTTTCCCTGTTTCCTTTTGATAGTCTTAATTTTTAGACTTTAGTCGCCAATACCTTATGCATACGTAAACCAATTTCAAGCATTCAAACATCAAAACGTTCAGCTCAAAAATTAGTTAATGTACATTTAATGTTTTATGTCAGGAGTGGAGCCTGAGTGGTTTGGTCGTGATATTCAGTAGTTCAGAGTGCCTCATGCTGCTCTCTTATTCAGTTAAAGTATACAAGCAGATTTCCTGGACTGGCCGGGCATCCGCTCTAGGACTACACCCACTAGAGTTTAGTAGTCATTTCTAGCATTATGAATCACATCTTTTTAACAATGGTTAGTCATCACTGTATTGATTGATTCTTTTGTTTACACGTTTCATAGGTGCTAAGTGTTTGGGGATTAAAGCAAACCAAGTGAAGTGAAGAAAGCCAAAGTGGTTCATCAGCTGTCGATTTGATCTAACCCTAAGTGACCCTGCTGCCACCTATCTACATCATTTCAAGAGGAGGAGGGGATCCCTCTGGGTGTGAGAAACACCATGTGCCAAAACTGGAGGGGGCTTTCCTCTGCGTCGTGAGACTGCCAAACCTCTTGTGAACCTTCCTCTTTAGTCTGAGGACCCTCCTAATCCTCCACGTTGCCCACTTGCAAAGATGAAGAAGGTGGCGACGTGGTCAGCAGAGGATGTTTCTGACTGGCTGGGCAGAGAGGGGATGCCAGAGTACATAGACGCCCTCCGTCAGACGGATGGCCCTTCTCTGCTCAAGCTCACCAAGGCAGATTTCCAGAACCCCCCCCTCTTGCTGGTGTCATCAGATGGAGGGCAGCAGATGATGGAGCGACTGGAGACGCTGCGGATAGAGAACCATATGGATTCTCACAAAAACGGTCATGCGAACGGGCATGTCATCGGACTACCTAACGGGACAAGCAAACCCCAGAGGAATGGCACACTGGGGAGGAAGGACTTCATGGAGATGGTCCAAATCTCTATCCCTACAAAAGAAGCTTCACGCCCATCATTCCCTGCTGAGTGGAGAAAGACAGGCATTGCTTTTTTCTATGCAGTGCTGTGCTTTGTTACCACCACCATCGTCATTTCAGTGGTCCACGAGAGGGTACCGTCAAAGGAGCACACGCCACCGCTACCTGATAAGTTCTTTGACCTGTTTGACAGAGTGGAGTGGGCCTTCTCCATCTGTGAGATTAACGGCATGTTGCTGGTGGGACTGTGGCTGATACAGTGGATTCTACTAAAGCACAGGTACAGCCAACATTTGGTCAGTAAAAAAAAAAGAAAGATACAATTTGAATTCAAACTAAAATGTCATGTTAATAATTTTCTTTGTCTATTTTTCCACAGGGCAATTATAGGCAGGCGGTTCTTTTTCATTGTGGGCACACTTTATATGTACCGATGTATTACAATGTACATCACCACTCTGCCTGTTCCAGGGATGCACTTCAAATGCTCTCCAAAGGTAGAACAGATACACACTATTATTTTTCTCTCCACTACAAAACATCTCTTTTTATACTTGGCTGCTTTTGGAAAAAAATGTGCTGAATGGGCTACTGCAGCAAAAATAGAGATCTCTGTTGTAAGCAGAAAGCATCTGAGTTCTCTCTACTGAGCACTTATTGTAAGATTAGTGCATGCTCCTCCTAATGACTAAGAGGAGCTTTAAATAGTTGATTCACTGTAGATGGTGTTGCAAATTCGTTACCAGGGAAGCAGTTACATTCATATTCTCTGAATTTCATTTACTTAAAGCCAGTGTTTGCCGAAGTTCTCGTTCACTTTTGTCAAGATTATTTATGTAGCACATTTAAAATGGCCGTTGTTTTTTAAATTAAAACATACACAAAGAGCAGCCGAGGTTGTTAATAACTGTAAAATATATATATATAATCAATATGTTTATTTAGTTTGTATCTTACTAGTGTTAATAGAGGGGGAAGAGTTCATCAAAGCTTAGAGCTGCCACCACAAAGGCAGGATACCCCTTATCCAGTAGCCTTGACCAGAACAATTCAAAAACTAAAAACAATTCCTCTCAGAGGCAGAGAGAAATCCATTAAAGAACCAGGGCAGAGAGACTTGTATTTTTAATACAACCATGAGATGTTTGTTTGTTTACTTTGCAGGAGTATTTGCACTTTGTACTACTATTTATTTCTTCAGTAGCACCACTAATATTTTGCAGGATATGTTCGTGGAATATAATACTATCCATTGTTGTAGACTTGATTGCCCAACAGCATTACAGTGCTTGTTAGTGCTGAATGCTTCACTCTGAAAAGAGCCATTCTTCATAGAGTTAATTAGTGTTTTTACTTGTGATTCTTTAACATTTTGCTGCTCAACATTTTTACTTATAGCTGAAAACTTGGAACTAGGAATTTAACATGTAACTAAGTATTGTTATACTACAACTTCTTATATGAAGCTTCAGGAGACCTGTGACCTCTGTAACTTGTGGTCTAACCAGGTCACCGGGCAACATTTGTAGCGAAAGGAAAAATCTGAATATGGAATGTAAGATAATCTTAAAAACAATGGAAAAATGATTTAGCTGTGGCATTAAAGGTGATTGCAGACAATGTAAAACGTAGCTTTCCTCACCTGAACTCTCATCTGGATTAATTCATGTTGTGCTGTTGTGTTGTCTTTTCTTATATTTCTAAGCAGGTACCGTTAACTGCATCATTTACATAAATAGATATCGATATATAGATAATGTTATGTATGGCTCTGTTTCTTTCAGCTTCTTGGGAACTGGGAGCTACAGATGAGGAGAGTAATGAAGATGATCGCTGGTGGGGGCCTGTCCATCACTGGTTCTCACACCATGTGTGGAGATTATCTGTACAGTGGTCACACCGTCATGCTAACGCTAACATACCTCTTCATCAAGGAATGTAAGTTCTACTGCCTTTTTACTGTAGTTGAACGCATTGGAAGGTTTTTACCCTTGTTGCAATGCATGAAGCTGATTTTCTCAAGCTCTGGCTCCATTTTTAATAATATGCAACAGATCATATTGTCAAACTCACCGGCCCCGAGTTAGTACACACATCAACTTTAATGTGGGTTTTAGAGGTTTTAAGACTGAGAGAAAGCAGGTTCTTACTCTCAGCTAAATCTTTACTTTGCACAATGGCCACTTCTATTAATTTTGATTTGTAAATTGGTATTAAGGGGTATTTAGAGCATTGCGACCTATTCTGAATCTTAATAATTCATGTTTCAGTTTCACAGACACCAGAATTTCTCAATCCCTCGTGTGACTCAGTAACCACAGGTCCGTCTTTTTTCCTTTGCAACACTTCTCTAAATTCTGTCAGAAAATGACACACCGGAAACGAAGTGTCCACTATATACTTCAATGTCAGCAAACATGTTAGGCTCTGCGTGGTTAGATACATTGCACTGTTATGTAAACACGTTTTCTGTTCCTCAGCCGGCATTTTCATTATCTCACTCACTTGGTTTGCACACCCAGTTAGTTCAAGACAAAGTACGAGGGTCAGGAGTTGTAGCATTTTAACTGCTTGGTGAAGTTATACAGATTTCTCCGGAGAGCTTTGAGTAAACAACTTTCATCTGCGGCATCACATGCTCCTGTAATGATTTTCTGTCAAGCATGTCGGTGAACCTGATTGATACAGCAGTGACATCTAGTGGTGAAAAGGAGAACAAACACTTTAACGAAAGTCCAAACTTCTGAGGCCAAATAAATTGTTTTCCCACCTGCTCGTTAACATTCACTGACCCTCATGAGTCAGTTGGCTGTTAAAGACTATCCAGTGTTCTATAGGATTGGTACTGTTGGTTTAATCTTTTGCATATTAACCCTGATGGTTTTTTGTGTGTTTGATTTGCAGATTCTCCCAAGCGGTTCTGGTTTTACCACTGGTTTTGCTGGATCTTAAGCGCTGTGGGGATTTTCTGCATCCTCCTGGCCCATGACCACTACACTGTGGATGTGGTGGTGGCATATTTTATCACAACACGACTCTTCTGGTGGTACCACACTATGGCCAATCAGCAGGTACGTGATGTTTGTATACGAGTAAAGTATGTGGGCAGGAGAGTTTGTTCTGTGTTCTGCCTTCTAGTCCTGATTCTTTTCTCCTTTAAAGAACAAACTGGACTGTATTTTAGTTGCTAATGGTGGGAAAATGTACAGTTATGTAGAATGTAGGACTATGTTGGAGCCGTCACATGCAACCAACGTTGTTTTGAGCATTTAAACTTGTGCTACTGACCTAAATGAGGAGGTAGTGATTGTGTTTGTGTCAAAGAGAAATGAATGAGGTGTTGCTGTTGCTGTGTAGTTAGTGTGATGAATTATCAGAACTTTGAGTCACAGGATTTGCCATGTTATCAATATTTTTTGTTAAAGATTTACATGTGAAAAACTTTAGGAACAAAAAAATGTGAAATGATTGTAGTGGCAAAATAATTTCATCTAAAAATTCAACTCTAGGGAAATCTGGATTTGATATTTATTGCCTATGTTAACAGAATTTTGTCTTGTTTTTGTTTCAGTCGCTGAAGGAGACGTCGCAGAGCAACGCCTTCTCACGGGTGTGGTGGTATAGACTGTTTCAGTACTTTGAGGAAAACGTCAACGGGACGCTTCCTTGTAACTTTCAGCTGCCGTTTTCATGGCGAGGGTTTCAGGGGAGCCGCAGCGTAAAGTACAACAGACTGGACAACCAGTGACAGCTGCACGTCACAGCAGGCGAGGGCTGTGACTTCCATAAGTGCTGTTTTTACCCAAGGAAGAAGGCGCTGGTTAATGTAGCGCTTTCCTTTCTATTCTAGTAACAGACACATCCATGTTCAAATGGGAAAATGGGTAGCACTGTGACCCACCAAGTATTGTTTTCCTGGTCGTCTTTTCTTTTATGGGAGTATTTGTTAGGACAGCACTAATTTATATTTGTTTTATGTCATTCCCACTTTGTGGGCCACAGTTTCTGCCTCTGTAGCAGATCTACGAACCATTTCGATAAACTTGTAAAACCGTTTTTTGGCCATAAGGACTCAAACCCCTTTTCTTCCTCTCAGCACAAAAACCATAAATATGTTCATGTTCTTACAAGACTCTTTGTGCAGATAGTGTCAGTTCAATCACTTATTTGATAACCAAAATGCCATAATGTTGTTTTTCTTCTTTTTTTTTTTAAATGGCGAATTACGTTTTGTAAACTGTCCTTGCTAAACTGAGTCAAAGGTGCAAAAAAAAGTTTTTTCTAACTGTGTCAAACTTTATTTTTCAAAAGTAAATGATGTCCAATAAAAGATTTTTAGATTTTTACCTTTTTCAAGATGGATAACAGAGAGCATAAGAATCTAATGTGGTAAAACATTATTCCAGTGCCTTTATTAGCTTGATTGTAACAGTTCAAGTACTATGTGTCTTGTATCTCTCTGCCGTTGGTGTGATAACGCTACGGAGCGAGTTGGTACTTTAGTTAACGGTCTAATTCCCATGAATGTAAAAAGAAACAACGCCAGCCTTACCAGAAGATTGGTCTTCCCAAAAAGAAGTGCAGTGAGTGAAACGTCCCGTTATTTATTGAGGCTTTATGATGTCAGTTTGTGCTTAGTTGGATAATGCTGTTCTAACAGGAAAAAAAACGACTGTTAATTATTATTTTTTAAATGTCCGTTACATTTCATTTTAACCAACACCAGCCATGAGTCTGCTAGTTTTTTTTCCCCTCCACAATATTATCTGCTAAGCATTACTGCCTAATAAAAAATAATGTGAGAAATGTCTGCGCGGTGCAAGTTATTCTGGACCTGGACATGTCTTGCGCACCATTGCTGCTCTGGAGATAATGAACCCCCATCTTTTTCCCCCACGTTGAACCTTAATTTAAATCTGAATTATCCTCATTACTGTCTTCTCCGCTGAGACGTGGAGGAAAATGTTCAACGTGACACCGGCGCTGAGCTTAGGGAATATCACAGTTGTGAAAACAGAAGCTTCAGACAAAGTTTCTGAGCATGACTGCAATGAATCTGTCAGTGCTTTGTTTAGTTAGTGTTGCACTAAAAAGAGTTCCTACCTTTCAGTCTGGTGTGCGAACTGAAAGCAAATGTTCAACGTGGACATTATTATATGTGGGGAACAAAGTCAAGCACGGAGCAGGTGATTTATTTGGTCATGTGTGCAAACATCGATTTCCATGAATGTGAAAATGCGTCTTTTTCCTAATCATTTACTGTACATGTTTTTTTGCTTTTCTTTCTGTATCAATGAATGCACTGTAAAGAATAAGTATTATACAAGTTCATCTATAGGGAAAACATTTAACTCATTATAAAAATGAAAAAACTTGTTCATTCAGCTTTAGATGAGACAAACTCCAAATCCATAACAATCATGATTTATTTCTTTAAACACTGTCAAAGGGAGGAGGTGAGACAGTATCATCGATTTTAATGTGATTTAAATTTACACACTCGCTCCTGTGGCATTGTTTAGTTATTTCACTTGTACAGAGAATGGTTTTTAAGAGCACAGCTCACTTAGGGCCATATTTCGGTTTCGGATAATATTTGAAGTCATGTTGAAAAATAATATTCGATGAGAATGGAGTTGATGTTTGTCTTCTAGTTTGCCATTCATGTTGATATGTTTTTTTTTTTATGTCTCTAAGAAATTAAAGTTGTTTATTATGTATGTTTCTTTGTAAATGTCTTACCCACTTTGTCCCTTTTTTGTGCATAACAGATGTTTGTAAGATATGATGGAAGACTCCTTGGGACGCTTTTGAATAAACCATTTTACTATCATGTATTTGATTCACCCTCCGTCTCTTTCTTATCAGTTCATCTCAAAGTGTAGATCAGCTCACTGTGCCAGAGGATGACGTCATGACAGACCCAAGAGCAGCCAGCAGATGGACACATTGAGCCGAGTAAATAAAAGTAGCAAGGGGTGGTCTCTACCTGAAAAGATGTGTTTTTGCTTCCAGTAAGTGTTGGTATACTCCACCTACTGCAAGTATGTCTGACTTAGTCATTTCCTGTCTCACTTCAGCTCATTCTCTGCCTCACATGTAAACATTTGCTCGTGTTTCAAAGTTAAAGTCTCTTCTCATCCACCCACTTGATTAGACAAGCAAGTAATGAACTGCTCAGCATGAGATTTTTAAATAAACAACACCATATCACAAAGATGGACAAAAATCACCCAAGAGTTCAGCCGAATCATCATCATCGCCCCCTGGTGGGATCTACCAAGCTAAAAAGTTAGTTTCTGTCATTTTCTGTTCTTATCACACTGATATAAGTCTGAGTGTTAATTTCTTCATTTAGTTAGATTTTTATCATGTATCTGATGCTATTAAAAACAAGGCAAAACATCACGATGACAGCTGAGACTGACTCGCGATTGGATGAGCGTCAAATTGATGCCACAACATCAAGAACACAAAATGGCCGAACCTTCATCTGAGATATTTGGCTTCATTTTTCTACACCGAAGGAAGTGGAAACCTGTAGAATAAACACTCTCGACCTAGACACATTTAAACGTAGGATTTCTAGCTCCATATAGCCACCCATACAATACTTCTAATACATGTTTTATAGTGACAACTGGAATTGGCTATAATCTATATTTTTACAACAATACATTCAATGACAATGTGAAAGAATCTGCAGCTCTCTAATTTTCTGCTGCAACAGATGTGCGTTTTCACCTAAAAGCACCAAACAGCAGACGGTCATAGTTAGTGATTAGCAGGTGAACATAGTGGAGCAGACGGCAGCTAAAGAGACATTTCCCTCATGAGACCAAAGACACTGTGAATATTGGAGCTACACTCACCAGGTGGTTAGAAACACAACTCCATATGACTGTTGCTGTGTAACTGCTGGAGGTGTAATAAGCAACAGTTTGAAAACCAACTCAGAGTATCAGCTCTGAACGTGTTGATATGTCAATGCTGTGTTTACAACATGTTTCTGAGTGAATGTAAAAACGTACAGCAGATTTTAAATCTTAAATATTTCCGACCAGTGAGAAGAATACAGACAAGACTGAAATACAATTAATCTTGTGTCTAACTAAAACTGATCAAAGTTGTCTGGGAAGTTATAGCGTCCAAATTGGAACTGTCATTCATAGGAAGAAGCTGAAAAAGTTAGCCTCTGATTTTCATCCAATTTCAGACAAGGAATGAATTTTTGAACATTGTGTTTGATGTGTTCATCATTCATGTCATTAACTGAGTCCTCTACTCCCGATTTTCAGTGATTCTTGACACGACAGACCTCCGCGGCTGATAAACTGCTGTTCGGGTTGTCTGAGTTCACTTCTGGAGTTTTTTTCTGCAGTTGCCTGCTAAAAGAGCAAGAGGTCCTCATAATCCTTGGCTGAAAACAGACATGTATTTATTTTGAGCTGGCTCCTTGACTTGCTGGGGAATTTGCTGGCACCCTGGAGATGACTGGTCAGCCCAGCCAAACTCCCACGCTACTACTGTACATAGTCAAATGAGGGAGGGAGTCTGTGCTCTGAACATTGGACAGTTTCAGCTGAACTTTATTAAATAGGCCACAGTGATGCTCTGAAGATATTTCACAGTGAAATGTGTCTGAATTATGCAGCGGTAAAGGAAAAAAACAGGCTGGTCCTTATTACTGTCACCTTGAATGTGATTTGAGAGTTTGTGTTGGTGAGATGCTTTGTGTCTTCCCAAATATAGTTTCATATTATTCAAATTATATTCTGAAATTGATTTTATAACAACAACAGTGTGACAGCATGTGAACACACAATCTCTGCCCTGGCTCCTGTCCACTCAGTTTTCCAATCTGTCCACTCTCTGCTGTCCACCAACAATGTCTCTATCAAAATAACTGTCTGTGTCAATATGTGAAAGTACAAACCTTATCTTTAGTGTTATACAACTGCATCACAACACACTGTCTGCTGCTGTAAAGAAACATATCCTCCCTCAAGGCGGCCAAGCCAAGAGAAACAACAGTTTGATTCATGGATTCACAAGCAAATTCTAGTCTATTCTCAGCAGTGCTGCGGTGTTTTCACCGTAATACTTAGTCGGAGCAGATAATGTTGTTGGAGAGAAAATGGACTTTTGCCTATTAATGGATGGCTTGGAAAGTGGGTGGTATGGGAAAGAAGGATTTGGGTAATAAAAGTGTCACGGTGTACACAATTGTGCTGTCCTCATTCCCTCCTGTGTTTACACTGCAGTTAATGGACAAAGAGATACAAAGCACACTCACATGAATTAAAGGAGACGTATTATTCTCATATTCAGGTTTGATCACTGTAATACTTGGTTTTCATGCTCAAATGTTCAGTAAATGCATCACTTTCCTCAGACTGTCCATAGTTGCAGCTCCTCTTTTCAGCCTCTGTCTAAAACTGTAAGACTTTGTAGGAAGTGTCGGTCTTTGCTCTCACGTTATCCAGCTTTGTTCGTGGGCATGCTACACTATAGCAGCTAGGTGCATTATACGAATGTGAGGCTTTGAAACGTCACAATAATGAGGAAGCACCGGTCGGACTATACTGATGCTGTGTTTCAGGATCTAAAGGAACCATTTCTTCCCTTGAATGAAGACTTTGGGTTTTTTACTTGCCGAACTTTTACACACATAATGAACCAGGGGAAAGAAAAACTGAAAAAGCAAAGCATGTCTCCTTTCAGTGGATTCATTGTTAGATGTTATGCAGATATTAATAAGATATTAATTGAAGATGAGTTCCTCCACACATCTCTGTGTTATGAATAGTTTGTATTGTTGTCTTTTGAGTGTTTTGCATGTTAAATAATTCTACCTTTTGGCCACTGGTAGGCAGCAGAGACAAGTTGTCAACTTAACACAGGCATATATGTATGA